TGCAACTTATATAATCTCGAATATTACCTTTGATCTTTCTCCCCGTTCATCAGCCACGGTAGGTGCCACTTTCTTTTGGAGGGCATACAATTTTTGTTGTGAGACTATTTTTACATGACCATTTCTCCTTTGAGTTACTATATTTAGGTTGAAGCCTTCTTCCTTATATCCACAGCTAGTCTTCCATTGTAGTACTTAGGGAGGACTCTCTGACTCTTGTAAAGTTGTGGGCTTATTACATTGTATACTCGATGAACCTCCTGATGTCCTTACTTGCCTATACTTATCCGTAGTTACTTACCTCTACGCCCTGGAGCTTGTGGGTTGCTTCTGAACTGATATTTTTACTGTCTTCCCAGTGGTATTCTTTTTATTTCCTAGCACTCGTACGGTACCTTTTTAACTTCCCCATATGAATATATCTCATGTATTATAACGTCATTCTATGAGGCTGAATTCCCCATGTTGGGGTTCACTCTGTTTATCTTGCACGATCTATTGACTTGTCTGTAACCTCTGGTCTAGCAATGACTAGGCTCTTCCTAAATCAACTACTAACTATTCGTTGGCCTATTCTCATATCCATATTCCGAGTAATCTTCCTTGGGTTATTACTTTTATCTTAACTTACATCTCGCACTGGCTCCTTATCTATCAATAACACCTCGGGCAGGAACCCATACTTCCTCCCCTTGACATCATGCTTGCATAATATTCTGGAATCATAGCATATCTGTAGGTTTTGAATAAGTGCAATTCTATCCCTTATTCATTTTATCACGTTCTTCCTTTACCGTTCCATAATTACTAGAACCACTTAATTCTGACTTAGTGCCACATCACTCCATATTTCCCCCTTTAGGGGAGTACTAATATTTAGCACTACGATGATCTACCTATAGATGTATTACCTCTTAATCTTTGGCATCTTCTCACATCATCGATTACCCTTACTCGCCTTGCGGTAATTCTTCTATACCAAGGATAACAAAATTTCTTACTCACGAGGGTGACACTTAATGTAACTGGTACATACAGTCCCTTAAGCTTAACATTGCTCACATTATTTGCTTTAGGGAAGCATCTTCCTGAATAACCATTCTCTTGTGTTGTCCATTCTACTATCGCCGGAACAAAATCTGAAATTCTCGTGATGTCGGCTATTATCAAATCACTAAATCCCTAATTGGTGTTTAATTTATTTTGCTCACCAGCCTGTACTAATTTCTGTTATTCCGGGGTCTAGCTTCTTTCTATTGGCAATTACGTTAGAGTCACGAACTTATTTCTCGCAATGAGGATGTGACTGTATGGCCTATACTCTTTTGTTGTCTTAAGGTCCATCACCTTTTGTCTCTTTCTTTATTTGACTATAGGTTCTGTAACACTCTACCGTTATCATCCATGTATCACACTTTATTTATAATGCTTCTTTATCTCTCTTCTCATTACTCTGCTATAATTTCTGCATATCCCTTTTCTTGTGAAAACTTCAACACGACATTCTTTTGCTTTTAGCTCCTTGCTTCATTCATAAGCTCTTCGGGATGCTCAACGTCTTCTCTCTACTAGGGACGAGAGTCACACTAAGTTAATATTTATCCCTTTCAGGCTTTCAGTGCCTATCATCTGGAAAAAAATTTGATCATACTAGTATTCACATCTAATTGTAATATTCTAGAGTGCACCATCTGGGTGTCTCACAAAAAGATCTATTAGCAAATCTGCATTATCCTTCGGAAATGTCAACTGACGCAAACAGTTCATTAACCCCTTTGGGTTACTCTAACCTCAACTGGATTATAATATCTCATCCTTCTCTTATACTACTTCTATTAACTTCCATGAGACATAAATGAGATGGGTGTGGCCCTTTGTACGTGCCTCTGTTATTATTGAAGGTAACTCAAAAGGCTTATATTCTTCTGCCTAAATTTGTAAATACTGATAATCTTTATTAGCTGGGTACCTCGTTCCCTTTCTGAATCTCTCATTGCCTTTTTCCATAGGGTGGATAGATATTCTTGACTCAAGGCTCCTTATCAAGAAGCTTACTCCTTTCAGTACACATATGATCTGCTGAAGAGCTCACATTTACTTATCATAAGTATGATGCAAAGTCGAGTTCCTCTGACTCAACTCTTCCATTGCCATATCTCTTACCAACCGTCTTTCTGGATGCAGGTATCGTTGTATTTCGAATAAGATAAAGTTTAAGAAATTGAGTTCTTACAACTGAGCTCTACCACACAATCTAGAGTATGAAGAAAGAGTGACAGTCTTAAATGCCATGTAGCCTCCTACTTATAAGTGTGGTGCACGACACACCCATAAACACGACTCTACTAGACACGGCTTGTAGACTCCGTAGGACACAACTGCTCTGATACCACTTTTGTCAGGAACCAAACCGATGGTCCGTGATGGGCACTCGGTACCTTACTCAACCGGATACCAACGTAATGTATCTTTCTTATTACATTATCATATACACGTGACATAAGGGCCTAATAGGCCAACATGATTATTTATAAACTCAAAATATAGGCCGACAAGGCCGTACAATCTTTCACATACAAGACATATGTTTGCAAGCCTTTAAGATTACATAACTATCATAAAGGTCGGGACAGAGTCTCGCCATACCAAACAATACACGTCTAAATTATACCAGCCAAACAAGCAACTCCGAAGGAAATGGAGCACACCATCATCTTCCGCTGAGCTGATAGCCTACTTGGAGGGCTCTCGACCTATCTATTGGGACCTGTAGGCATGAAAAGCAGCGTCCCCAGGCAAAAGGGACGTCAGTACGAAAAAAGTTCCGAGTATATAAGGCATATAAATAAGTACATAACAGACATGAGAGAAATATAGAGTACTTGACTCAACCTGTAAGTCTGAATAACTCTGTAAATCATGAAATACTTTTAGCATCATCCATATGCGTATGAATGTCATTTCATGCATAGGTACACGTCTCATAACATCATCAGCCTCTAAGAGCATCCCATCATATCATATCAGCCATTGTGGGCAAAATTATCAACGTAAACCAGCTGATCAGGTGGTGGTGCGTATATAATGCTATAACCTTTCCCATATCCCATATACATATATATACATACATATATACGCATATATAATGCCATCTAGTCCTGGGTCAATATACATGAATGCAATGCACGAAAAGTACGTTAATAAAATCTTTCGGAATGTCATAAGACCATTTTGCCTTTGAGTAATATCATAAAGTAAACTATTTTCAACTTTCATATTTTTCTGAGACCCATGAACAGATGATAAGATATTATGACACATGGAAGTTCAAGAATATAAATATCTCTAATACTTCTATATATAGAGTCATTCATGGAATTTGGGCATTTGAACATTTCGTTTGTATCGTATGGATCATGCGAAAAGAAAGAAGGGATAACTTTAACATACCTGGAATAGGAAAAACTCCGTATAATATTCCATTGGAAACCTTCGTGGATTGAAATTAGAACCCAAAATTCGGATTAAACTTCTGTGCTTTGAAATTTGAATGAAATTGCTTCTGATGAAGCTTTTGTTTTGAATCAAAATGCTTCTGCTTCAACATTTTCCTTATAGAAAAAATAGTTTCCAACCCTTCAAAGTAAGAATGGAATCCTTTTGCTTTATTTAAAATTTTCTAGCTAAATCTTGCTATGGATTGAAATTTTTGGACAAAAAATGATTCTGCTTCTTAACGTTCTTTGGTCTTAAAGCAAAATAGAATGCGGTTTTGGTTTAATGAATTGATTACCTAATTTCCTAGATAAATGCTCACAAGTCTCTTTTGATAAGACTAAATTCAAGTCATATGTTGGTTAGTAGCCATTTGGCAAAAGTGACCAAGAGTCATTTCCTTGCCATTATGGCTTTATGCCACGTAGAAGGATGGGTGAAGATTATTAATCTTTACCCGCTTATTAGTTAACTAGGTAATGTTTCGTTACCCGGTAATTAACCAATAACCCGTATAATTTAAAAATTATCTCAACTTAATTAAATACTACTCTATTTTAACATACCTTGTACAACTTACTAGCATGGTCATGTACTACCTTGTATGACACTAGTCCATAAATACCGGGTATTTTAGCTCGGGCCGTGTTTTATTTCAAAATGCCAAACTTCGACAAAATTCGCTTTCTTCGATTTTACTTACCCTCTTACCTTCACTAATTTACTTATCACTTATAATCCTTATAATCCCTAAATAATCTTTTCCTTACGACAAATTCAACGTACAATACTACAGGGTGCTATACCGTCGTAACTTAATACTACGAAGCATGACATCACCGTAATGTAATACTGATGGGTGCACTACTGTCGTAACTTAATACTGCGAAACATCATCGTAATGTAATACTGCAAGGCATAATATCATCGTAATATATTACTGTAGAGGGAAACATTATCGTAATATATTACTGCAGAGCATAACATCGACGTAATACTGCGGGCCATAACAAAAACTATGTCTTCGTGTAGATATGTAATTTTTGACCCTCCCCAAGATTTTACATATTTTAGCATTTAAATATTTAGTTTAGGTCTAATATAGTTAGTTTTACTAGTTTGACTCTTTTACTTTATTTTATCACAAAAAATAAAAATTACAAAAATATTTTTATCTTTAGTTTAAAGTCAATTAGTATATTTATATTTATAGTATTTTAATTTCACCGTGGCTTTAGCCTATTCTTCCAACTTATTACTTTATTATAACATTTGAAAATACAAAAATTAGTTTCACTTTTAGTATTTAGTTTTTTATTAGTTTATTTTAATTAAGAGTGGTTTTTACACTTTATAGATATCTTTTATTATTTAGTCTTCTTAGCCTAAATTTAAACCCAAAAGACATGGTCCAACCCAATTTCCTAAATCCAAGTCCATTTACCCATTCCCCTCTTATATTAGTAGCCCTAGAGATCCTAATACCTAAGAGAGAGAGTCGCAGAACCAAAAGGAGGACCCCCTGAACTTCATCTTCTTCTTAACTTTGAGCACCCCTTTCTTCTTCACCTAAAAACGAACCAACGACCTAAGCTTCATCAACTCTAACCAGTCGTTTCCCTCAACTGAAAACAAAACCAATCAGCCGATAAACACTCACCCACACTAAGAAGAGGGATACAAAACAGACAGAAATTAAAAAGGTAGGCTAGGACTTGAAAGTTTTTATTTGTTTTATCTAATTTCTTATAACATATACATGTAAATAGTTTTTGTTTTAAAAGTTAATTGGATTGATCTTAAGCAAAACAAAACATGTCTCATGTTTCCTCTTTGCGATTCTGAGTTCTTGGTTTCAATTTTGGTGTTCGATTGAGGTTGAGCTTAGTTCGAGTTTGTCGATGAGATTCGAGTTCCTCCGGTGAAGTTTGGTCAATCTGTTGCCTGCCGAGCGGTGAAGACTCTGTTTTGTCCTTGCGCAACATTCTCAAATATCGCATCAGTAGCCAATAAGAAGCCAATATCTTCTACAGAAGCTTGTAATGAATTTTTGTCTTATTCTTTAGTGTATGTTGTTGCTATACATGTTGTATCAGAATATAGAAAGAAACTCCTCAGAATGTTCAACCTTAAGGGAAGCTTCGTCGATGACATTTCTTCATATTTTCTTGCACTAACAGATGATTAGATTTTCAGGTACCTCTTCTTTACCTATTAGTTAGATTTTCTTAATGTGAAGTAAACAGCTTCAGGAACAATCCTATTGCGCTAATGATCTGTTAAACTAGAACAGGGCCTCCACTGTCCTATCACATGAAATCATAAGCTCAGTCAGATTACATGGACATTACTTGAGTCAAGTTTATTACATTTTCTAATCCTCTCTAATTGAAATTGGATGCATATTCTATATATACCTTCCTCAATGTGTACAGCTTATCTGATTTTTATTTCTCTTGATTTTCTAATGTTGTCACATTTGAGGCATTTAGTATATCGTGATAGAAAAGGACATTGACATGGTTAGGCAAAATTTTCGACGCGATTAATAATGAATCATCGTGGCTATGGGTAACGGTTCCAGTGACATGGTTACGATTCATAATTCCCAAATTTGGGTGCACATTTCATGTGACCCGACCACAACTTCGAATTATAATAAAAATAATAAGCATGTTGTAAACCGCAGATGCATTTCATGCGACGCAATTCGCAATGTGTTAAAAAATAACAAGTGTATGACAATCGTGTCTCGTTTCAGAAAATAATTCCATAAACAATAAAAGCGGTTATAAAGTTAAAAATGCACAATAGGTTTAAACACGTAATAAATCAGATAATGAGGTCAATTATTAATAATTGAGCGACCTTGCTAAAACTATGGAACCTGGGAATGCCTAACACCTTTTCCTGAGTTAACAGAATTCCTTACCCGGATTTCTGTGTTCGCAAACCATAAATAAGAGTCAAACTTCCTCGATTTGGGATTTTAAACCGGTGAATTGGGACACCATAAATTATCCCAAGTGGCAACTCTGAATTTGAATATAAAAAATCTCATTTCGATTTATATCACTTTAATTGGTAAAACTCTCTTATATCTTTTCGGGGTAAAAAGGAAGTGTGACAGCTCTGGAAACTCTGCTGGGGATAAGATCCCAGAACTTCTGATTCAGGGTTCAGAATTCGAGCTTAGAATAACTGTTATAGTTGGCTTTTATTATTATCTAATTTTTATGTGTTTGAGCCTAATGTGCTAAATGACGCTTTTTACCGCTTGGATATTGTTTGAATTGTATATAAACTGTTACGAAACCCTCTTCTCTCTGAGTCTTCTAAATGTTCTAGGGAGTGTGCACTTCGCGTGACTTCTTTTCTATTAGAGTCATATCCTAATTTTAGAACGAGGTTCGGACAAGTTGCAAAGCCGGTGAAGCTTTTGTATTTCCCGGTACGCTGCCCCCCTTGGCTCGAGTTATCCGCTCGGGTAAGCTAGGTCTAGAACAATACACCATAGGGTTTAAACATAGAATAACATAGCCTCATGCTGGATCCCTAGTAGGAACGTTTTGTTTGCATCACGTGCATTTGACTTTGGGGACTCAACACAGGGGTTGGGTCCGTCTAGGACAGGTGTACCCAAATTAAAAAGGTTATCCTGATGCATCTTACGTGCTACTTGTACATTTAGTCGCTTCGGTTTGTATGTTGACCGACTAAGGAAAGAAAAACATAAAAAACAAGAGTGAGGTAGGATAGAGAATTCACCCGGTTCTGAAAACTCCGATATTTGAAATGCCTCAAAACTCTGTCAAAATTTTTGAAAAAAAGAGAGGAAAAGAAAATATATTTCAAAAAAAAGTAAGCCAATATCATGTTTTTCCAATTATGTCAAAACTGGACGAACTACGTGGGTCTGATTCTCACCGGATGTGAGATACGTAGGCAAACCTCATCGGTTCCGGTCCCAATTTTCAAAAATCCAAAAACAAATCTTTAATTCCTTCTTTAGAAGTCTTTCTTTAGAAAATCACGAATAAAAGAAATTTAAAACCAAAAATATTTTCTTTCATTTTAGACGTCTTTCATTCGAAAAGAAAATCAAAATCAAAAAAAAATATTTTTCTACCTTTATTTTAGAAGTCCTTTTCCCAAAAATTCAAAATATAAAATAAATAAATAATAAAAAATCCAAAAAAATATTTTCTTTCTACTTTAGAATTCTTTCTTTCAAAAAATTTGAAAAAGAAAATCAAAAATCCAAAAATATTTTCATTCTTCTTTCGAAAATTGAAAAGAAAATTCAAAATTCAAAAATGTTTTCTTTTTTCTTTAGAAGTATTTCTTTCATAAATTCAAAATAAAAGCCCAAAAATTCAATAATATTTTCTTTCTTCTTTAGAAGCCTTTTTTTTCTCTTTTCAGAAATCCCGGGAAAAAAAAATCGAAATCAAAAAATATTTTCTTTCTTCTATAGGAGTCTTTATTTCTAAAATTAAAAAATCAAAAAAAAAACGTTAGTTTATTTACTTTATTTCTAATCTTCCCGAAATACGCAAAGATCTGATTTATGCGGCGTCATGATATGTAGGCAACCAACCCACATCAGGTTCGATCGGATAATTAAAAAAATGAAAAAAAGGGAAAAGAAAAAAAACAGAAAAGAGAAAAAAAAAGAGAGTGTTTATTCTAACATGCTTGTTGTTTTGAAATATAACCTAGTCAAAGGTAGTAGGTTTGTTGGTTTGCAATGGATAGTTACAAAAACCACCCAAGATCTCTTGGAAATAAAAGCATCTTCTCAACCAATGGAACAAGTACCATTGTTGTTAATACAAGGTCATGAAAAGGCAAGCATGCAATTTGGCGAAAACAAATCAAAAATGGAGGCAAATGTGTGGTTGAATTTACCAGATTTGAGCAATAGGACATGACCTGCTCGGGATGATTGTCAAAATTTGAAAAACAATCAAAATGGTTAAATGTCGTAGTAAGGCTGATGTGTGAATGTGTGGCTAAGATGTCGCTTAGTAATTGGAAAGTCAGTCCTATTTTAGCCATGGTAGCTTATTTTTTCCGTCATTTCTTCTTCTTTTTGTGATCAAATTCTGCTATCCTTTATTCAATAAAAAGCGGTCAGTCACTTTGTGTCCATTTTGTGCATAGTTCTTTTCATGCTAGTTCTAGTGGCATGATATGCATGCGGAATTTTTTGCCAGATCTTAGAAAATTGATATAAGATTGAATTGGATAACTGAGAAAAAGACACTTTTTAGGATGAAAAAGAGTTGAAATACCTTGGAGTTAAGCCCGGGTAAAATTCAAGTGGAATTAAAATAGTTATACCCGTGGAGGTTAAGGATCTTTACCTTCAAAATCATTGTGAAGATCGGGTTGAAGAAGAATCAATTGAAGTTTGTTGGAAAGTTTAATATTAAGGGATGGAAAGTGTCTTGTGACCACAATATACTAAGAAGACAGACATGTTCGACAATGCTGTGATCGCAAAACGATACTATGTTTGGCATTCTCGAGGCTGGGAGGTTCTTTTTCTGCTATCCAAACACTTTATATCCTTTTGTTATGTGACGACCCGGCCGGCCGTCTTAGAAATTTATGCCCTGATCCCCTATTAATTGCTTTTACCGTATTTATCTCTACTATTTTGATTTGCCAGGATGTTCGGTTTTGAGTTTCAAAGAGTTTTGGGACACTTAGTCCATAAATGAGAGCTTAAGTGTTGGAAAGTTTGATGTAGTCGGAATAGTATGAAGATGGCCTTGGAATGGAAATCTGATGGTTCCGCTAGCTCCGTTGGGTGATTTCGGGGTTGGGAGCGTGTTCGAATTATGTTTTGGAGGTCCGTAGCTAAATTAGGCTTGAAATACCGAAAGGTCAAATTTTGAAGTTACGGTTCGATAGTGAGATTTTTTATTCGAGGGTTGGAATGAAATTCTGGAAGTTGGAGTAGCTCGTAGTGTTGAATGTGATGTGTGTGCAAAATTTCAGGTCATTCAGATGAGGTTTGATCGACTTTTTGATCGAAAGCGTATTATTAGAGTTTTGGGATTTTTAGGCTTGAATCTGTGGTTAATTCGGCGTTTCGATGTTGTTTTAGGTGTTTTAAGGGTTGGTATATGTTTGGATAGTAGTATTAGACATGTTGTTGCCTTTGGTTGAGGTCCCGGAAGCCTCGAGATGATTTCGGATGGTTGATGGAAGGATTTTGGAGTTTGGAGTTGCAACCTCAGCTGGTTTTCTATCATAACAGCACCTGCGAGTGTGGGACAGCAAATGCGGAGCCGCTGAAGCATTATTTAGCATCACAGAAGCAGAAATGGGGAGGTTCAGTAGGAGTCGCAGAAGCGGTGGAATTTCCGCAGGAGCGGTACCGCATCTGCGGATGGGGAGTCGCAGATGCGAAAATTAGGCTGAGTTAGTGATTGTCACAGATGCGACCATTGGTCTTCAAAAGCAGGACTGCAGATGCGGTCCCAGGGCCGCAGATGCGAAAATCGCTGGGCAGAAACATATAAATTCTTGCCTTCGCAAAATTTAGCCATTTTTCACCATATTTCAAACGGGAAGAAACTTGGGAAGCACTTTTCAAGAGGGATTTTCAGAGGAGTTCATTGGGGTAAGGTCTTTGGTCCCTAAACTCGTTATTGGAATGATTTTTATCAATTTAAGCATGAAAAATTAAGGAAAATCAGTGGTAAATTGTGGGTTAGGGCTTGACTAATTAGAGACCTTTGAGTGACCATTAGAGGAACCAATTGAGGTCCGATTTTGGTACCTTTGGTATGACTGCATTTGTGAGAGTGTGAGGATTCTGAAAATGTAAATTTTACATGATTCCGAGATATGGGTCCGAGGGGCGTTTTGGTTATTTTACCTAATTTCACGTATTAGCTTAGAATTTCTTTATAGAATCAGTTACTTGAAGTGTTATTTACATTATGAAATTGAATTGAATAGATTTAGGCCATTTGGAGCCGAATACTCGTGGCAAGAGCGTGGATTTAGATTGATTTGAGCTAGTTCAAGGTAAGTGGCTTGCCTACTCTTATGGGGAGGACCTTCCCCTTAGGATTTGGTATATTTGGTAATTAAAATGCCTTGTACGTGAGGTGACGAGTGTGTACTTGAGCTAATTGTTGGAAATCCGATTTTTCATTAAGTAATTACTAGTATG